CCACATCCAGAGCCCCCCCCCCGCTCGTCACCTCCTCGATCTTAATCCCATTAGACAACCCGCCCCCGACCCCGACCCTCGCCAACCCCCTCAAGGGAGACGCCCCGCCGCCCAGGCTATACGGCGGGCTCGTGCCCCCCCTAGGCGGGAAGTTTGACCTCGAGGAGGCCCCGCCTGTGGTCACCGAGCTCTGGATCGAACGGCCGGATGCCGCCACCGAGTTGGCTGCGAAAGACGCCTGATGAAAAAAACGTTTGGCAAAGGCAGATACAAAGCCGGGGGAACGGAAGAGAGGGGGGGGGGAGGGGGGCGTACTCAAGATTTGCATGCCTTATCTGTTTGATACCATTGACCACGCGTCCTCGAGAGGACAGGGCATTGGAACTCGTACAAAGAACATTAAGATGATGGCAATACCTACAGTAGTCACTCGCTTTTTACCGAGTTTGCCGCGAAAGATGCCTGATGAAAAATAAAACGACGGATAAATGGAAGAAGTGGGGGGAACAGAGGCCGGGGGGGGAGGGGGGGCCGTGTACTTAACAGTGATGGCTTTCGGCAAACGATACCTGATGAAAAACAAAATATTGCAAAGACAGAAAAATGAAAGAAGCGGGGGAAACGGAGGAGTTTGACAGGTGATGGCCGTGTTCAACATTGTATCTTGTCATGACACAACCGATGAATTCCCCTCGGTTTGTCCGACCTGTGAACGCGGGCCGGCGGAGAAGCGCGAAGAGGGACCCCCCCCGCCGACCATGCCCTTGCGGAGGGGGAACTCCGGCCCCAAGATGCTGCCGCCCATGGCCGCGCCAGTAAGGTCTGTGCCTCCCCAGTCAGACATATCGCCGTCCTCATAGTACCTGCAGAATCAATCAGCGGTCCGCACGCGGGGGCATGCTCATGTAAACACATGACACCCTGTACAACTGTGATGGTTGTACTTGTTTGGTCGATCAATTATTACAGTCTCAGAATCTCGTGCAGCTATGTAAATAGTTGGTTCCAATCAACCACCAACTCAGAATCTTGAGCAACTAGCTTTTGCCATTCAAGCACGGGTGGGTGGGTGGACCATTTAACCACGGGTGGTTGAACTCTTTCCCCATTAGTTCGTACTTTCGTACTAGAATAGTTGTTCAGTTGTAGTTGTTAAGGGTGTCGACACATACCGTGCCCGTAAGACCATGGACCTCGTCGAATCCCCAACGGGCCGGGATGACGGAGGAGCGATATGTACGCCGCTTTTCTTTTTCTCCGCCAACCCAGGCTACGTTTGGCAACGATAAACCAGAAGTTGGTCATTATCAAGTGTTGCAGCCTTGGTCGTCAAAACATGGACCTCGCGCGTTTTCGGGAGAGGGCGAAACTCATGCCTTGCCTGCCTCAATTGTTGCACAGCTGTCCACGCGAGGGCGCGGCGGGGGTGTCTACAACAGCAACATCCACGCGTCGCCGCAAAATTCGAGGTAAATGTTCGCCTACAATTGGAAAGAGAAATCCAGAATCCAGAAAGCAATATTTTCATGTTGTGCGACAGGAATCGGAGAGAGTCTGAGGCAGAATTGCGACCAAGTTGCAGATAATTGTAGCTCACGGAGGGAGGCCTGAATAAACCTTGTCGCAATAGCAACACCCTTTACAACAACGGCAACTGTAACCCAAAACAACGGCTACAAGGTCCAAGGCATGCTCAGCATCCTCAGCATCGACAACGATAACGACGTCAGCAGCAGCAACAGCAACAACAGCAACAACATCAATCACAAACAACAACAACAACAACAACAACAACAACAACAACAACAATACAAACAACTGGTACAATGCAACAGCGACAACAACGTCCGCAGCAGCAGCAACAACAACAACAACAACAACAACAACAACACCGAGTGCACATACTTGGCAGAATATCTCTCCGACATGGCGCCGTCGTTGGTGTCGCCCCCCGGAACGACCGAGTCGCTGTACGCGCTCTGGTTGCCGTCGAAATCGCTGTAGGCGCCTTCCACGCCGTCCACGAAGCCCTGTTGTGGGGGCGGCGTTGAAGGCCGCAGGGGGGACAATGGCTTGAGAAATCAAGACAACTGGAAAGAAAACTTGATTCTTGTATGCACATTTTATTGCTTTGGTCTTGGCTTCAAATCAGTGCTCACAGCACTGGTGCCGGTTGCTCCAACCCGCGGTCACACAGCAGGGTTCCTCTCTCTCTCTCTCTACCAACACATAAAACCATTATTTCGCGTGCGATTGAAAAAAACACCGGCTACACATACGTTCGTTCATCTACGAAAATGAGCGCGCACCCCTCCCTCCCCCTCTGCAACGCCCAATCCAACCCGCCGGTAGTCGCCACTACCCCCACCCTCCTCCACACCTCGGCCGCAAGCCCCGTCTCTCCATACTTGTGTTCCACCAAGTCTTCCCCCCCCTCGGGACCGTTCTCCAGATTGTACGAGTAACCTCCGCCACCGCCGTCGGCGGCCTGAGAGTGGGCTCCGTCGAGCGGGTCACCCCCCACGGAGACTGCGGGGGCCAGCCTGTCGAAGGCGTTGCTGTTGTTGTTTCCATTCGCCCCGCCGCTCTTTCGGGCAGCTCCGTCGGAGGTGCTGGAGGCCGTGCCGCCTAGGTTTGTGATGCGATTGGGTTTACATAGGTGTGATGGTGATGTGTGGTGTGACTCGATGCGGTTGAGGTGTGAAGGGATGAGAAGTGATTGGATGACGTGTGGTGTGATGGGTGATGTGGATGACGTGTGACGTGCCGCCCGTGAGAGGTGATACGAATGGATAAGGTGTGAGTGGATGAGACATCATTGCCGCGCCGCTGCCGTGGCTCTTGGGCAGCTTCGTCTGAGGTGCTGGAGGACGTGCCGCCCGGGTGAAACGCGAATGGGTGACGTGTGACATGGTATGACTGGATGAGGTGTAGGGTGTTGCGATTGGATGTGATGTGATGTGGTGAGACGTGATGCGATTGTGAGGCGTAATTGGACGGGATGTGATGCGATTTCGATTGGATGAGGTGTGACGCATTGTGATGTGATGTGATGTGACGTGACGTGACATGATGTGATTGGGTATGTGTGGCGGGCCATGTATGGATGAGATGATGGAATGGTGTGATTGGGTGAGGTGTGATGAGATGTGATGTGATGTATGATGCGATTGGATGAGATGTGACGTGATGGGATGTGATGCGATTGGATAAGATGTTAATTGTATATGGTGTGGTGCGACTGGATGAGATGTGATACAATTGGACGAGGTCTCATGTGGTGAAAAGGATGGGATGTCGAGTGACTGGATGAGATTTCGTGTGACTGGATGAGATGCAATTGGACAAGGTGTGACGTGATGTGATCCAATGAGATATCGTGTGATGCGGTGTGTGACTGGATGACATGTGTCATGTGACGCGATTGGATGACTTGTGATGACATGATGTGAACTGTCATGTGTGGCGTCATGTGACTGGATCATATGTCGTGTGATATGTAGTGTGAACTGGATGAGATGTGACGAATGAATGAGGTGTGACGTAATGTGTGATTCGATTACAGTCGTTGGCCCTCTCTGAGAGGCGGGGGCCCTGCTAAGGCGGGCGAACTGGCTGGCATAGACTGACTAATCAAGTCATCCTACACATTGAATAACGCGGGTGCCCTGTACAGGGCGGGTGAATCGGTCTGGCGCATACCCGCCTTATCGAGGGCCTACGACTGCAGGTGCGACATGATGTGATGTCATTGAACGAGAAATGATGCATGTGACGAATGAAAATGTGATGTAGTTGAACGACAGGTGACGTTCTGTAGTTAATTTCTGTGTTTGGGATGTGGTGTGGTTGGATGAAATTCGATGCGTCACGCGATTGGATGAAAAAAGCGTGAGCGCTTTCAGCCTTTGCGAACACGTCTGTATCTGTTCTTTTTGCTATCTGCAATACAACAGCCGCCTCCCTTTGCAACAGCGGCAGTCACCGTGGTAGGATGACTTGCAGCGACGGTACCAAGGTCTCGGCGATGGAACCTTACTCATGGAGATATTTTTCCGCGAAACAAACCGTGTGAGACTTGTGGGCATCCTCCTCGTCGTCGCGTGGACTATCCAATCCAGCTTTGAAAATTAATTGGGCAGTCCAGAAGGTGTGGCATCCCAGTACCTCAAACCTACGCAAAACCGGAAGAGGCCGAGAGATGGCACCCCGCCTGGACAGTCGACCAAAACCCCGACCATTTCTACGGGAAAGCCCTCCACGATATGTTGTGTCATGAGCCACCATTGTTAGTGTTGGCACAAGCTTTGGTTATGGAACAGTGGTGTCTTTGAAAATCGGTCTACTTGTAGGGGGGGGGGGGGGGGGGGGNGGGGGGGGGGGGGGGGGGCACCATCTCTCCGCCTCGTACGGAATTCCGCAGGTGGGAGGCCAAAAGCAAGGGCGATTTGGTGCAACATAGACACGATCTGCCTCTCTCTCTTCGTGCTCTTGTCTCGTTAGAGTTAAAGGGTTAGGGTTAGGGGCGTACGCTTTGGCTGTTGAGGCCAGAACGGTGTGATTTTTTGGTGAGAGCCCCGACGACCTGCCAGGGACAAAAAAAGCGCATCGTCATCATCAGCATCAGCAGCAACAGCAACAATCACCATCATCAGCATAGATCCAGTAGCAAGCGACAACAACAGTCACCATAACCGTAATCATCATGAACAACAACGGTAACAAGACAACAACCACGACGCCGGCAGCAGCAGCGGGATCAGCGAAACCGGTAACATACCGTAAATGACTTGAGATAACACACCCCCCTTGACCAATTTTCGGAGCTCGATTTCTCAACTGCAGGAACAGTCAGCGCCGAAAACGGCGGCGGCGTTGAAACCGTCTCGTCGAGAGCTTTTCGAAAATGTATCGTTTCGTTTATGCATCCTCTTCGTGGAGTAATCGAGCTTTGAAAATCGGTCCAGGGGGCGTGTTATCTTGTGTCATATACGGTAGTGTGCACAGCAACAGCACCAACAGCACCAGCGGCACCAACATCAACTACATGACCACCACTAGCAGCACCAACGCCGCACGCACCTGCCGCTCCCGCGCCCCCCCCGCCCCCGTCCCCGCCCCCGTCCCCGCCCGCGCCCCCGCCAGGCTCGTGATACTCGTACGCGGGCTGCAGCTTGAGCCGCTGCTCCTCCTCCTTGATAACCTTCGCTCGCTGCTGTTTGAGCCAGCACTTCCCACACACCACGCCCACGCAACCCGTCGCACAGAGGGCGGCGATCAAGACGGCACACGCGATGGCCACCTGTGGGCCGCGAGGGGGGGGGGGTGACGTGGGCGGCGTACCGGGGAAAGGAGGGTGAAAACAGTGGCGGTAGAAGAGGTGCAACAACAACGCCAGGAACGGGCAGTTTGGGAGTCCGTCTGAAGCGCGCGTGCTGTCACTTGCACGCAATGCGCTTTCGGCGGGAGAGCGACAATTATCAACAACGTCACCAACAGCAACAGCAGCGGCAGCAGCAGGAGTGGCGTCATCATCAATATCATTTGACAGCAACAGCTACAAAAAATAACAGCAGCGGCCGCAGGAGCCTCAGGAGCAGCTCCAGCAGCAGCGTCGTTGATACCAGCAACGGCAGCAAAAGCTTCAGCAGAAGACAAAGCTGTAGAAACACCAACGAACGACAACGACAACTGTAGCAGCACCAACAGCAGCAACAAACGACAACAGTCAACAGTAGCACAGAACCGACAACAGCAGCACCGGCAGCAACACGCACCGCCGCGGCGCTGGCCGGACCACTATCTTCGAAGAAAGTGATGGCGGCTTCCTCAGTGTCGATCGCAGAAGCAGTGGTGCTGGAGAACACCACGTCGTTGATCGACAACTCGCTCGCCGTCGTGCCCAATGCCTCCGCCAGGCTCTGCAAAAACAACAACATCGGGTCAAGAACAAACCAAAAAAAGGGACGACCGATACGAGACCGAAACACAAAGGAGCGGCACGGTGAGAAAACATGCTTTGCAAACATTACGCTCATGGTACAACCTTGATGACTTGTTTTGCTTCGTTTTTGAGGCAAAGGGAAGAGGCGGGGACAAGTGCAAGGATGTACCGATTAATACATGTAGATGACCCCCCCCCCCCCCCCCCCCCCCCCCCCCCCCCCC